GTCACCCGATCTCACCCCTCTGGACTATTGGTTTTGGGGAATGATTGAGGCTCGCGTATTTCATGAAAATAAACCAAAGAATTTGGTGGAGTAAAGAGCGGGAATTGAAGAGGAGTGTAGACGAATGACGCTTGGAGATGTTAAACATGCTGTGTCTCACATCTGATACCGCCTCCAACTTGTTATAGAAGGAAGGCGTGCTTTTTTTCAACATTATTCTAGTGCCAAGTTGTTCATAAACATCCATAATGCTTGTATGTGCACAGAAAAAATAATAAGGTTTAAATTGATTTTAAAGTTTTAAATTGGGTATTACTTTCTGCGTCTATTATGAGACACTTTGTATATGGCGGGAACACGGACTGTGTTGTAATATTTTGCGTTTTTTTAATTTTTTCTTGTCCTGATGCAACTATTCTATTTAGCTGCTCAAATATCCTCATAGTTTGAACAGGAACACATTAACGAACATTAATTTTATTGGGATCTCGTCATCTAATGGCTGAAATAGGAACGAAAAATGAAATATGCAGCGAAGATCGGTTAGTGAAATGGAAACGGGGGGACACGAACGATCGGTTGTCTGCGCTGCCAGTCGGGGCCGTTGGGTGACTTGGCTGGTTGATCCGTGTCACATGACCAAGGTAGACTCAGCTTTCGTACGAAACACAGCACAATACAGGGTTTCGCAGGCGTATAGCGACTGCCTCGGCATTGGATAGATACCGTTGAAAGGAAGAAGGCCTTCGCTGCGGAGTTACTTATTAGAAAATGCCACCTGACCGGTTACAGACCATTGGACAGGGAAGCAAAACTCTCATTTACATCTTATTTACAGAAACTGGACATCCACCTTCGCCTGAACGCGTCTTCTTGAAGTTTCCTGGATATTCATTGACTCTAATCATTCATTACTCAAATCCGAGCAAATGCTACAAAGCGACTCCACAAATTCCGCAACAGATCTCCCTTTTCAAGAGACGCAAAGCGAAATTCCAAGAACAACGCATACTACTCGCATGCCTCCCCATCAGTAATATCACCGTTACGCCGTTAGCCTAGTGAGTACACAGCAAATGACCTGAAATCACTTATTTGGAATGGCTACGTGCCTGGTGTCAATTAGGTGGAACGCAACTCAGCTTTTGGCTGAACTGTCGAGTTTAACGCCAACCCGGTAAGAGAAGTGCACACGTATTCTCTCAGGTTGCCGTGTCATGCGTTCAACATCTGGTTAGTGCACATCAAGATCACTAATCTTATTTTTGTTTCGTTGCTCCAGCATACCGTAGCTCAACCGGCGCACTTTGGAGACGCACCGGTGTTGTCACTCCTGAACACACAGATAAGGGGAACACGAGATTTCATCCCGTAAGTATGGCTAATCCATGTCGAAAAGCTGAAAAGCACTGTACGGTTGTTTCATCCTTATTCGGAGTCACCAACAGTGCGTATCTCACGAAAGTCCAGAGAGTCTCGAGTCTGCGACCTCCCGACTAGTAGTTTGGGCACTTAATCATTTGGTGAGGAACACCCAGACGTGTGGTTGATTTCTACTCAGACAGGATATATCGACGCTAACCTTTGTTCAAAAAAATTCCTGAATCTGCTCGCATTAGAAACACTGTATAAGTAGCTGAGTGTACTTCCTTTCCCTCGGTCAAACTCTTCCCCTGTCTGATGCTGTTTACTGCGTCTATCTCATGGACTCGCTATGCATTTTTTCATCTCTCATGAACTTTAACCCTTGACTTGTCGAACCAGTTTGGTCGGCCATTCTTTACGCGCGCTTTTTGGCCAGTTTGCGTTACCACGTGTTGTACCCAGGCGTGTGTCGCAAACTAAGATCGATTTGCCATCTTCTCCGGGCTTTCTTTGAATTTGCACTACTTCTTGCAACAGTTTAGAAGGAAACCCCCATA